GTAGAATTAAATGGAGGGGTAAATGAGTACAATAGTCCTATTTAGGGAATAGAAATATACTTACTTCCATTTAGGAATTTAAGCAATGATTTAATCCTATTTAGGGCAAAAAACTCTTCGGTTTATGATGCTTGACCGACGATAAAGCAAACAAATCTCTGTCTGCATTCAAATTATTTTTAGAAAAATGAATTTCATATTTAGAAACTACATTAAAAAGCTTTACAAAGTCGCAAAAACCAAAATCAAATTTGATAAAATTTTGATATATAAAGTAAGAGATTAAAAGTGATTTGTTTTGACCAAGTGAATAGTGTCTTGGACAATCTTAGTCGTTTATAACTTTTGAAGGCCGAAGGATGACTGACGTCAGTTATGTCACGGATCCGGCGCCGTTTCGTACGTGTTCGCCATTTACTTGTTCAGAAAAACCAACGGGGCTGGCACCTATCACTCTATCAGAGGGCAGACCGCCAGTTTCCTCCCCATAAAACGAAAGTAATTTGCTCCTTTTGACGTCTGTTATTGACTTGGAATGGCTGGTTTTTAGCCCCCCTTACCTTTTGACCTCGTTTCTTCGTTCTTGACCGTCTTTATCATGTCTAGCTCAATTTGGGATTATTATTTGTTCTCTGCACACAAAAATCTGTAGATAAATATTTTTATATTCCGTACTTCATTCTTATAAAAAGTTGTAGCAAATGAATTTTCACATTTCACACACATATTAATTGATTCAATTAAAATTCATGGAACAATCATAATACAAATCGATTTTAAGTGGAGACAAACATTACAAATACAAGTACATAATTAACACAAGCATTTATTTAACAACTTTCATTTTCATCACATATCATCTTCTGAAGCAAATAATGTCAAAAACTCCACTAGATTTGTGCATCTATGCATTATGCATGCAAAATTGCAAACCCCACATCGATATCTGCATGGGTTGCTCTGTTTTATACACTAGTATTATGAATACAGATTTACACCGACACAATCCAGTGAATTTCCTATTTTAGCCTTCACTCCAGACGTTCTATTTTGTCGTTCCATGTTTTGCACTGGTCAGTCGGCCTCGACTTCACATTCCCGGCTTTCAACGGGCAAGCGGTTGCTACCGGCGGAACCATACAGTTATAAACCAAACACAAAGTTACGTTCGCCGGAATAGTGTCCGCCGCATTTATGGGGATTCCGGTGAGGAAGTTATGCTGCAAGTAGAGAAAAAGTATCTTACCTGAAAGAATCCCGTCCACGAATTCATTCGGGACCTCACCCATGAATCGGTTATTGTTGAGGTATAATTCTTCTACCTGGGAAAACAGAGGAGATATTTCGCCGTACAATCCGTTGTAGCTGAGGTCAACGGTGGGGATGTTCACCGGCGGGGAAGACGGTAAGAGTAAGACATTCCCGGAGAAATAGTTTCGGTTAAGTCGAAGACTTCCGGTGATTGGGAAACTGAAGACTTCCGGTGGGATTTCGCCGGTGAACTGGTTGAAGCTGAGATCGAGAAAGCTCAAAGCGGTCAAACCGGAAAGAGTCCGGTTCACAGGTCCATTCAGCCGATTCCATGATAAAGAGAGGTATTGAAGCGATGGAGGGAAAGCATTGGGCGGGAGAGGACCAGAAAGATGGTTGTGGTCGAGATTAAGCCGGAACAGAGCCGTGGAGGCGAAAGCAGGGACCGGACCGGACAGATCGTTGTGATTAAGAATGACGTTTTTCAGCGCCGGCAGTGATCCTATTGCCGGAGCAATGTTCCCGTTGATCTGATTGCTGCTGAGGTCAAGCGTCTCTAGCACCCTGAGCTGACCGAGAGACGCCGGAATCTGCCCGGAGATATAGTTTCTGGTGACTGCAAGAAACCTGAGGTTGACTAATCGCGAGAGACTTTCCGGCAATGCACCGTATACCTTCCCGGGCATCACCGTAAAAGTTTCAAGGCTAGATAAATTGCCAATAGCCGGGTCAAGCCGACCCGTCAAACCAGGCGACCCGGCCCTCTGTTCACCGAGATCTAACGCAAAGACCTTAATATAGCCGTTGCCGGCGTTTTGGCAATAAACGCCGGTGAAACTGCAGGGATCGGAAGCATTAAAATCCCATGAACTAAAAAAGTTGGAGCCTGGCACATCAGACAATTTGCTACGAATCGCGCGCAGAGCCGATAAGTCAATTGAGTCGAGATTCCCGTTAGCGAAGAAAGATGAATGAAGAAGAATGCTCAGAAAAGCAATAGACCTCATCACCGCCGTCATGCCGCCGCAATCAGTTCCGGAGTATTTATTTAAAGGTATTACCCTAAATAGGAGTAAAACAATGTGAAAGTTCCCAAATAGGAGTGGTTATTGATTTATTCCCCAAATAGGAGTTATCTCATACTCACCCGTCTTTCCTTCCTATTATACCCCTCTATTATTTCCCGCACCCCCATCTCTCTCTTACGAATCTGCATCGTCTCTTTCTCCCTCTCTCCAATCTTCCGATTATCTTCTCCGCCTCAACTCTCCTTGACATCTTTTGAGATTTAATTGTTCCACTCTTTCTGGCGGCAACAGGCAGTAGGCGGCGGCGTAATCGTATGGCATAGGTTAGTATAGATCTTCCTCCTTCTCCTAGATCTTTCTTCTTCTCCTCCTCTTTTCTTGTTCTTTCTCCACTAATTCATTTTCCAATTGTTTCAAATTAAATTTGTTTCAATTGTTTCAATTGTTTTTTAAAATTTATTTTAATCAATATGTTGGTAAATTTTCAGATTAGTCATCCGATGTGAATCTGTAAAAAGTTCTCTTCTCTTGTTCTTTCTCCACCGATTCTTCAATTTAATCTTTTTTACAAATTTGTTTCAATAATTTTATATAATTTATTTCAATAATCAGTGTGTTGGTAAATTTTCAGATTAATCTTCCTATTGGAATCTGTAAAAAGTTCATTTTCTCTTGGTTATTCTTTCTCCACCGATTCATTCTTCAATTTTAATCTTTTTTACAAATTTGTTTCAATTGCTTTTACAATTTATTTCAATCAATGTGTTGGTAATTTTTTAGATTGATCTTCGGATTTAAATGTAAAATTTTCAACAAAATTGTGTCCTTTAAAAAAATGAAAATCTAAAACTAAAAAATAAAAATGAGAAGAAACTCAGAAAATGACAAAATCGGAAGTAGTATATCGATCTTGGTAAAGCTAGTGCTATCAAGATGACATTATTCGACTTTTCATAATGAAATACAATATTGCCATATTTTTATGGCATTAGTATTCAAATTGACTTTTCAGAATGAAATACAATATTGCCATATTATGCCATGAACATGTCACTATGTGTCAAAATTATATTTTCATATGGAAATACATGTCATTATTAGTACTTTATTTGCATAATGTTAATATTGCCATCCTGAGATGTCATTATTAGTACTTTATTTGCATAATGTTAATATTGCCATCCTGAAGAAGTTGGTGCCATATAAATGACATTACATGTCAAAATGCATTTTCAAATGAAAAAAGACATTATTAATATTGTAATTTCACATAGTAATATTGTCATCTCATTAACATCATAAAAATAAAAATAAAATTATTTTGTCAAATAAGAATGAATGATATGACCAATCCAGATTCAAACAACATACTGGCATTTTTCTGAGATTTGAAATTTTCTGAGATTTGAAATTTTATGAGATTTGAAATTGCCGACTATGACACCAACAGTTATGGAGGCGGCAGCGAAGGTGACAGGGGGGACGGCAGCCGCGGTAAGGGCGGCGGCGGCGGTGCAGATATCAGTGCTGATGGTGAGAGTCAATAGCATGCTCCTTGGAGAACTTTGTCGTTCTTGAAGAGATGCCAAATTTTTATTTACGGAGTATTATTTTGTTTTAGATTATCAAATACGGAGTATGACACTTGCGTCTTCATTAAGGGCAATTCTGTCAACCCATGCCTTTTTACTCCTATGAACCCACACGGATAATTAAAGTCCTATATTTGCACTTTTATATTGATTTACTCCTATTTGGAGAATTAACTCATTTGTTAATCCCGCGGATTATTTGAGATATGGGGCCGGCCAGGTAAAAAATTGTTACTTAAGGAGTAGTTGAATAGAATGGAGACTATGACTTCCAAAGCAAACATTAGTACAGTATAATTAAAGCTGACAACTCCGGTACCTTTCTAAAAACAGAGGTACCGTACCTAGCATTCATTTGATTGGACCACATCACTTTATCAATTTTAATTTAGATTTAAATAATTCAACTGCTACCTTTTCATTGGTCCATGTGGACAAAGGTACGGTATCTTATGGGTACAATAGAAACTACCATAATTAAATAGATTATACGTAGTAAAAAATAGATTCACCCACTGCCCCGGCCACCATGAGATGATGAGACTATGAGATGACAATAACGCCACCAAAATTATACGAGTGCAACAAAATTAGAAGGGCAATTAATTATGAGGTTGTTTGGAATCACTATTTTTCAGCTTATCAGGCTTATCAGCCAACTTTTTCACCAAACACGTAATTTTTGCTTTCGTACGCTGAATTGTGTAATAAGCAGAAAAAGTAAGGTTGGAGTTACTTTTATGACTGTATTGGCTTAAGTTACTGTAGATGACCATTTTAGCTATTTTTACATATAATATTTTCTTTATTTTATTAATAAAATATATTTTTGAAATAATTTTTTCTAAATCAACAGAATCAGCCAATGCAGCCACTTCAGTCAGAACTTCATAAATTTCAACAGAATCAGCCAAAACAACTGATTTTCGTGCTACCAAATGGGCTCATATTAGGAAGAAAAAATTTGGAACAAAAATCCTATTTGGGTGGGGGATATCTAATCGGATTTAGGAATTGAAACAACAATTACTCCTATTCAGAACCATATAGGAAAAATGGAAATAAATAATCCCACCTATTTCCAGTCTAGTTTCAGCGAGCCCTCCTTTGAGTAATCCAAAAAAAAAGCCAACGTTTACATCCTATCTTCGTTATATGGTCCTTAACTCAAATTTACCGGTTATAAAAAGTAATTCCGTGTTTAGTAACCGGATAAAGGTTATAAACGATGCCTTTACCGTATCTCATGCCTCCCACCTATCTATCTTCTCCAGGACTAATTTCTTGGCCATTAAATATTGTCTGCAAGCTTTCTTCACGTATCTCCTCCCTTCCGGTTACCTGAATTCAGCCCATGTGCGCACAGCAAGCTCAAAAAAATGCACAGTAAGTCCAAGCCGATGGGAAAAATCAATTCAAATGCTGGGTCTTCTTCGACGACATCAAGTAGTGGGACACATGTAAGAATCAATTGTCATCACAATATGAGTTCAGTTTTGAGAGTTGTTAAAAATGGAGTTAATGCTGGAAGAAAATTTCGTGGTTGCTGCTTATGGCCGGTAAATGTGTTTGTTATTAATCTTCTTTAATTTTGTTATGAACAGGCTGAAATTAGGGTTCATATTCTGTTTGGGATGTGTGGAAGAGATAAATAATACTTTTATAATTTTCAACAGCATGAAAATTGCCATTTCTTCAGGTGGGAAGATGATGATGATGATGATGCTAGAACAAAAGAAGTCCACAATCATTCAAATCCAAATGATGTAGAACTTAAGAAGCAAATGGTAGAAGAAAAGATTCAAAAGAGGATGCTAGAAAATGAAGAAGTCCATCCCCAGGAATCAAACACAAGTGAGATAAGATTTCAAATGAAGACACTAGATGAAAAGATTCAAAAGCTGCAAGTGAAAAACAAAAAATTGAAAGAGGCAGATAAGATTTCAAATGAAGATGCTTATAACATTTATTATAAGCACATTTTATCACACGTTATGCTAATTACCAAGTCAAAAGGCAGCTAATTTCTCTAAAAATTCAATAAGGAATTTCATCAAACACATTCTGAGCGCCATATGGAGTTTTATCAAACACACAATGAAACATAAGTCTCGCATAATATGAGCAATATATTTCAAAGCGACACTCTTCATGCAATTCATCAACTCAAATGGTGAAGGAAGAATTTAGTTTTGACATTTTATCAAACACATTCGACTTTATACAAGTCTGATAATGGACTGAAAGAGTTATGGAGTGATTTGTAGTTAGCAGAGTTCTAAATTATTACCTGTAATAAACTCAATGGCGAAAGACGTCGTCCTCTGTCACCGTTGCCAGCTTTCTCTTCAACCGTCTGACGTTCATCGGCGCTTCTCCATCTCCCAGCCCGTTCAGTAGTCGTAAGTAATTTTAATTCTAAGGTACAGAGTAATATTTAATTGAAGGTAAAAAAACATTTAGGGTAAAATTTGTTTCAAGTCAAATGACTATTGTTTTAAAAAATAGACTGATGTAGCCAGTAGAAAGTCATTCGGACCAAAGAGGGAAGATATTATATAAAGGTTCGCTTTTTTATGGATTATCAAATAAAGGGACCGTTTAAAGCAGACTGCGTAAAGGTGAGATTATTTGTTTCCATTTTCCCAACCATATATCAGTAATGGTTGTGAAAATGGGATATAAAATCAAATAATAATCCAAAACATGGAATGTCAAATCCAATTTCCCCAAATTAATAATAGCTCACACCTATTTGTTTACTTATTTAGTTTACGTTCTAACAATATGACACCCCGGTTTTTAGATAAATTATTTGGCTTTGATCATGGACACAAGTACACAACGAACAAAGAGTGGGATTTTACTCCAATTTTTTTCCTCAAATTGAATGTGACACTTCTTCCTTGTGTCACCTTCTTTCGAACGGTTGAGCTATGCCCCGAGAATACTAAGCTTTCTATTCAGTCCAGAGCATCTCATATTCCTTGATCTGCCCTGTTTGTAGACATTATATTTGGTGTACAATTAATTTGGATATATTTATACATGTTTGGTGCTCACACTCAAAAAGTGGGGATTAGTCACGAAAATGCCGGAAATTATGGTTAAGTAGATTTTTCATTGGGACTAAAGTAGTGAGCAAACCATTGTCGACAGCCTACTTGAAGGGAAAACTATAGAAGTCTTACGGACGACTCGAAAAAGGCAAAACAAAGGGATAAAAAGGATGTAGAATATAGTATGTTTCAAATTAGATTGTTTATGATACCACAAGTGAGTTTAGTACGTAAAGTAGAGCCATTTTTGTCATATCGCTCTAGCCGTCTCATTTTGTAACATAGACTTAAATATTTGAATTGTTTAAATAATACGAACAATTTTGTCACAAATTTTCCCCAACTTAACTCTATATATCATTTCATTTTTACTTTTTGTAAGTTTATCTTTATTTTCTTAAAATCCAAATTCAAATACAAATCAATCTTTATGTTGTATTTGTACACCTTTTAATGCACACTTTGTTACATCCCATTGTGTGCACGGAAATTCGTCTAAAATGCAAACTCTATATATGGGGATGTTTGTATTTCGGTGGTTGGTAGGCAACACGGTGCACAATGAACATTTGCTATTAGAAAAGGGGGAATTTGACTTTGCATCATTGCATTTTACTTTTTGAATTATATTGGACTTTATATCTCATTTCACTTCACAATTTTGCTTTTGCACCCCATTTCACTTCAAAATCTTTTGAATTTGCACTTCATTTAGATAATTTCATTCACAAATGTTATATGATAGGGTGCAAAGTCAAAGATTTTTTGAAATGGGATGCAAAGTCTAATATCATCCAAAAAATAGGATGCAAAGTTAAATTCTATAAAAAAAATGACGCTTGGGATAAGAAAGCTATTATCCAAAACCCCCTAAATGTACATAGATAAAATAAAAACGTAGTACTCGTCCAAAAAATACGGAACATTTGATCAAAGTCGCTCGACTAAAAAATTGTATAAAAAAAAATTACTAATAACTGTTTCTATTTGTCACAAAATCACAGTGACATCTTAGGGGTTCCACTTATGTATTGCCCTAACAGGTTGTGCTAATTGGGCGTGACATGTTATGGTTAACTTTAATTAGAATTGGGTAAGTTAAAATTAATTAATCATACATGCCTATTTATTTGAGAAATCCTTCTGGATGGCTTCTACAATTTTACCCTCGGCACGAGTTGATCTCATTCCCTGATCCTTTTATAAGGCATTACGGAGTATTAGCTAAACGAAAAGATTTACTCTGAATCCTCTCAAGACGTTAAATTATTTCTGCTAATTATTTTTTGCTATGAAATGTTTGAAGTACAAGATCAACATCCGAGTAGTTCATAGGCCTTTTGGCCGGAATATTACTAAAAATAACATAAAAGACAAAAAAGTGACATGTTTTTGAAAATTCCAAAGATGTGACCAACATCACAACTAACCCTGCAATGCAAAGTGACTCCGTCACCACAGTGACTGTCGCACCGGCCATGGTGGCTGTCCCACTGGTCATAGTGACTGCCTCATCGGCCACAGTGACTCTGCTGCCACAGTGACTCCGACCATCATGACAGCCCGCCTACCGGCCACAATGACTACCCATCCACCGGTCACAGTGACTCCGGTCAGACTACCCGCCCACAGTTACTCAGCCACAGTGACACGCAACATTGACGATACCACCACCGCCACCCCGACAGCCCCAACTCTGACTCAACTACCCAGCCCCCCTCCCAGCCCTCAGCCACCTCCCCATCCAACAAGGCTGCCCGCCACCCCCGCTGGCACTTCCATCCCGCAGCCACTACCGCCGTCTGCCCATAGACCGCCCATTATCTGTGCCCCTCCCCATCCCCCATGCCCCACCAGCACCCCAAACTCAAGCCCAAGCCCCTGCCCTATCCCAAACTACCCTGCAAGCCCATCAATGCCATTCAACACCACAAGCCTCCAACATTCAGCCCCAACCCCAATCATCACTCCCCTAACCTTAGCCTACAACCTCTAGCGCATCTCCACCATCGTAAATCTTGTCGCTGCTCAACCACCAGCCATTCAGCCAACAGTCCCAGCTCTTAACCCTAAATTTGGGTCGCTGCCGCCGATTGCTAGCAAATTTCCACCGTCGGAGCATGACGAAACCATGGAACTTGGCCGCCGCAACTTTCACATAAGATGTGGAAAACTGAATAGGAAGAGTGGAAGCAGGCGGAGATCTGGAGGGCGACAGAGGCGGCGACCGCGAAGGTGGAGCAGATACGACCTGGAGGCAGTGGCGGTATGATGTGATGGCCGACGGAAAAGATGAAGAGAAGAAAGATCAACTTCCCTGCTCGATGGAGAAGACGTAGGTTGAGCTCGATGGAAAAGACACGAAGCAGAAGCATTTGTTTAGCGCGTAGGGATGGGGCAAGTCATATTTTTGGAATTATTAAAAAGAGTTATGTTTTTGTCTTTTAAAAGTCTAAGAGTCACATCTGAGTCATTATTTCTTGTATTAATGCTAAAACAAGTTAATGTTTAATATATATGCAATACATTCTTTTTAAAATGTAAAAAGTAAATGACTTGTGTAATTTGATGTCAACAAACACTTACATTTTGTGTAACTAGTGTGTCTAGTATTTAACGTTGTTTGATATTTGATGGTACCATGGACTCGGACCATGGCCCATTTACAAGATTATAATAAAACCTCATAACGGGATCAGCCTATAAACAGGATTAGCCCATAATGGGATCAAGCCCTAAACAGGATTAATGATGATTAGTCACTAAGCCTAAGTAGGAATCAAGCCCACGATATGAACCCACAACCAGGCCAGGCTGGACGGCATACCTCGAGCCTGAGCGGAGTTCTAGTGAGGCCAGGATATTCCTAGGGCTTACGTGGCAAGCTATCATTCAAGCATAGCTATCTGACAGCAGGCAAGAATGAACAGAAGAACGTGGACTTAAAGGAGATAATCATTGCACAACGTGCAAGACGTTAGAGGAGTCCTATTCGACTAATATGTGATTAATAACATTTATTGTATCAATTTCCTTCTAGAATACTAGCTCCTAGAGTCTATAAATACCTCATGTATATTTCTTATGAAGGGACCGAATTCCGGATTAACAATATTGTCTTACGCTGCCTGATTTCATCTGCTCTTGTAGATATAGCTCTCGTAGTTGGATTAAACTCCATCAATATTTTACAATATTGAGAACTTCTTATCTAGTAAAGATATTTAAAAATTACAAAATTAGAAATTTTTATATAATAAGTATTAAACAATGGGTTGGTATATTGTTCATTTGTTTAATTTATGTAAATTGTTTTAGATGTTGTTTCTTTTAAATCTCCAATTAAGTATTACATTATGAACGGCTATATATTAATTTTAAAATTAAAATTTAAGAGGGACGAACACATGTGTATCTTATTAAAGTATGAAAAATTTATGAAAAATATTACATATATAATAGAAATTTTGAAAGTTTAAGGGGGCAGTCCCTCGCCCCCTAAATCCATCCCTGTGCCTTATGAGTCTACTTTTACTCGGGAAGGAATTTTAAGCAATTAGTCAAAGATTCTCGTTATTTAAGGGGGTGTATTGTATTAGGATTTAGTGGCAAAATTTTAAAAGTACATGGATTTTAAAAGTTTAGGTGTATTCAATGTGGACTTTTAAAAGTCCACAAAAGTCTAGGTGTATTCAATTCGGACTTTTAAAAGTCTATAAAAGTCTAGGCGTATTCAAATTTCCGTTCATTCTTATTGACTTCTAAAATCATGGATTCTCGTGGACTTTTAACTCATTTTTAGTGCAAAAATTCTCTACAATTGTCTCTTCTCCTCACCAAAGATTTCCGTGGACTTTTCTTATATCGGTTCTTCATCCCGTCCCACCCCATTCCTCCCCTCCCTCCTAGGGATGGACCGGGCCGGGCTTGGAATTTTTT